TTTATATATTGTGTAATTTTCTGTTATTATAGTACAGATATTTTAGATGAATTGTTATTAAATGCTTTGATTCTTTTGTCTCCCTTAATGAAGTTTTGCCTTGCAAGAGTTAATTTACTTGTGTTCTTTTGAAGACTTGCTTTTAAACTCTGTTAGGGCTGGTTTAGAATAGACTTCCCTCTGGAGATAACTTAGCTCTACTCCTAAGGCTTGACCTTTCTGGTATCTCTGCTGAATGTCACTGTATTCACTCCACTTTGGCTCTTTGGAACTTGAATTTTTTTGTGGCAGTTCAGGCAGTTGCTCAACTCAGCTCCCAGAGAGTTGTTCTTTCTGTAGTTCTTCATATGACCTTGTGGAGTCTTCTGGGAATGCAGAGCTTTGTATTTGGCCAGACTCAAAGGGACCCCACCAGATTAGATACTAGTGGTTTTCTGGTGAGCTTTCTTCTTGGTGTTATTTTGCTCTATAAATTTCCACTGCTTTTAGAAGTCTTACTTGCTGGTTTGTCTTAAGGTCTCTAAGCTTTCTTTCCTTGTGTCATGTATTAGACAGCAAGTCTGGGCCATTATAGGGGTTTTTAGCCCCATCCCCCCCTTCCCTCCTGACCGGCATGAGAGTTTGGGGAGAGCACACCCCGGCCAGGATAAACCCAGAAAGGAAAGGGTCGACTGACCACCCCGCCCGCACCCAGCCCTCTCTCACTGGAGGACAATCAGATGTGTCAGGGAGACCAGTCAAAGCAGGATCTCAATTTATTGAGAAAACACACACAGCTAATATAATGTACAGGAGCCAATCAGGATAAAGGTCAGCAGGGTGGGGAGAGTTCTGAGCCTATCCTGGAGGTGGTCTGATTTTTCCTCACCCCAGGTAACACCTTCTGGCGGATCTCCAGGCACTATCTTAGTCACATATGGCCCCAGGACCAGGAAGCAGGTAGCAATTTAGGTTTCCTCTTTTCTGATGCAACATGCCCCACATGTTGCATGCCCTACTTCAAGTTAGGTTTCCTCCTTTCTGATGCAGCATGCCCCACATGTTACATTATGCCCCACAGGCCATCACCTTATGTCTCTTCTCTCAAATTATCATATTCTCAAATTGCTTGTTGTCCAGTGTCTGAAAACAGTTGTTTCATGCATATTGTGTAATTTTCTAATAGTCTATGACAGAAGGGCCAGTCTGTTAACTTCCATTATAGTCAGATTGTGCTGATCTTGCAGAGTGAGAAGTATAGTTGGAAGTTCATTGAAGGATTTGAAGCTGATTAATACCACAGTGTTCTTTCCTATTTTGCCAAGATCACAGCAGTGCTATCTTGAGAATGGATAAAAGATATGGGAGAAAACTCAGTAGAGTCTGTGTAGTAATTTAAGCTTAAACTAGATTAGAAATGGATAGATTGAAGATTTTGGAGATAAAACAATTAGGATCTACTGTTGAATGGGTTGTGGGAAATGAAGATTGGAAGGAGGGAAAGGAGATTCTGTGTTCTGCTTTAGCCACTGGGATGGCAATATTGTTTTAATGAGACGGTGAAGACACATCTCCTCAAATGAAGGGCCAGGGAAGAGCGAGAAAATCAGCATTTAGGAAAAAAAAAATTGAGTTACTTATTAGTCATCTAACTGGAGCTGTGAAATGTGCAGTGAGATGTGACTCTTGAAATCAGAGCAGAGGGTAGGCCTAGATACTTACCAGCAGCATCTCCATTATATTTAAAGCCAACTAGTACAGATCAGAGTTTATTTGAAAAAGTATAGAGTTTGGACTGCTACATAACATGGAGGTCTAATTTTAAAATTTGGGCTGGAGTTGTGGCTCAGTGGCAGAGCGCTTGCCTCACACATGTGAAGCACTGTGTTCGATCTCAGCAGCATATAAAAATAAATAAAACAAAATAAAGATATTAAAAAAATTTTTAAACAAATATTTATTTATTTATTTTTAGCCACAGTCTTGCTATGTTGCCCAGGCTGCCGGAGTGGTCTTGAATTCCTAGGCTGAAGTGATTCTCCCACCTTAGTGTCCTGAGTACCTAGGACTTGGAGGTGTAATTTAGAAGGAAGAACCTACAAAGAAAACAGAGAGGGAACAATTGGAAAAAGAAAGAAAATCAGGGGAGGCCAGGCCTGTGGAACACACCTGTAATCCCAGCAGTTTGGGAGGCTGAGGTAGGAGGATCATGAGTTCAAAACCAGCCTTAGGGCTGGGGATGTGGCTCAAGCTGTAACACGCTCGCCTGGCATACGCGGGGTACTGGGTTCGATCTTCAGCACCATGTAAAAATAAAATAAAGATGTTGTGTCCACCAAAAACTAAAAAATAAATATTAAAAAATTCTCTCTCTCTCTTAAAAAAAAAACCCCAAAACCAAAAAACAAACAAACAAAAAAACAGCCTTAGCAACATAGCAAGGCCCAAAGCTACTTAGACCCTGTCCCAAAATAAAAAAATAAAAAGGGCTGTTGATGTGGCTCAGTGGTTAAGTACTCCTAGGTTCGATCCCTGGTAACAACAATAAAAACAAAAATCAGGGGAGTGTGGTACCATGATAGTCAAGAGAAATAAAATATCTAGGTGGGAATGAACTATTACTTTGGATGTTTCTGAGAGTTCTAGGAAGGCTGGGACAGAAATGTGTTTGTTAGATTTAGCAGTTCAGATATGATGGGTTGTTTCAATGGAGGAGTAGGAAAAGAAACCAGATTAGGATGATTATTATGAAGGGATCTTATATGTTTGAAATATTATGATAGATAACTGCTGAGGATGGGGAAGAAAGGTAATTCTGTTTCTGCTGAGATTGGGTGGGTTGGGGTTGGGGGAGAGGAGAGAAAGAAAATGTGTCCTTTTAAAAATAAGTTACAGTGGCAGAGCAGCAAGGGCTACTCAAAGCATAAAGTGGATCATTGTTATAGTAGCAGTGAAAATGGCAAGAAATTCTTAGATTTTTGGAATGTTTTCAAGACAGAGTTAACTAGATAGGTTTCTTGATGACTTGAGAGAGAATGGAAGACATGAATAAGACTCAGGTTTTAGGCCGCAGCAACTGCAAGGGTGGAGCAGCTTTGGAGGCACCATCAATTTAGTCTTGGGCATGTAAAAAGTGTTTAATAAAATGTTTGTTAAACATGCAAGTGGGATACTTAGTTATTTAGAACTGGAATTAGGGAAAGGCAGAAGTTTTTTAGATTTTGGAGTTTTTCAGATTTTGGCACATTCATAATAGACTTCATCAATTGAGTACCTCTAATATGAAAATCTAAAATCATAAATGCTCTGAACTTGAAACTTGAGCATTACTGTTTTCACTCAAAAGTTTTGGATTTCAGTTTTCCAGGTTAGGGAATGCTCAAACATGTAAGATTTGGGGTATAGTGTTAGCAGGCAGAAGAGACGTGTAGGTATTTAGGAATTACTGGTGTTTAATCTGTTGACTATTTATAATTTAGGACTTCTGTGAGTTCATTAAAACAGTTTTTTTTTTTTTTTAAGAAAAAGTAACTCAGTAAAGTTGCAGATATACATATATATATATAAAATACACACACACATATATAAATAATTATATGTATTTTTATGTATTTATTTTTTAGTTGGACAGAATACTTTTATTTTATTTATTGATTTATTTTTATGTGCGCTGAGGATCAAACCCAGGGCCTCGGACATGCGAGGGTTTAGGAGACCCCCAGTGTTCTAAAGTGTTTCATTTTTTTTTTCTACCACTGAGCCACAACCTCAGCCCCAGAAGTTATACTTTGATTTCTCAAACTATTCTTTCTACTCAAGCAAGAATGAATAAATTAGGTGAAATGTATAACTAAAGTATTATCCATCCTTTTTATTATGCTTAATTCAGATGAGACTATTCATCTCTGTATTCCCTGGGGTCACTAGAGGTTGCCCAGGGTACTTTGTTGACCCTTTAACTCAGAGACATTCACAGAATCTGACAAGAGAAATGCCTGAGGTGGTCTGGTAACTTCAGAGTGACTCTTGAAGACATTTACATCCTTCCTTCCAGTCCTGAACTCTATAGGTTTTGGGTCAGGGCTGGGATACAGCTCAGCAGCAAAGCCTTTGCCTTGCATTCGCAAAGCCCTTGGTTCAATCCCCAGTTTGTGGGTTGGGGGAGATAAATTCTGAGGTTAAAAAAAAAGATCTGTGTTTTTCTGACATTTTCTAAACCTGAACTATTTAGGAAAGTTGTTCAACAGTCTTATCTTTTTCTTTCTACCTATAGCCCCACCCAAGAGATTTTCATCATTAGGTACCCAGGTAGTTATTAACTCTGAGGGTGAATACTAAGGAAAGGATGTTGTCAACCCAGATATTTTCAATACTTTGTGCAGTGCAGACTGGTTATGATAGCTTTCATTTTCTCCTGTAAGAAAGGGAACTTTTCTAATTTTTGGATCATTTGCAGTTCTGATTGTAGGTCTTAGAGTCAAGTGAAAGATAGACACACCACCCTGGTGATATGCTATAGTTTCAGCTATTGTAGGAACTGGCATTGGTGTGACCAATTTTATTTTTATTTTTATTTTTTAAAAATATTTTTTAATTGTAGTTGGACACAATACCTTTATTTTATTTATTTATCTTTATGTGGCGCTGAAGATCGAACCCAGGGCTCCGCATGTACGAGATGAGCGCTCTACCACTGAGCCACAACTCCAGCTCCGCCCCCTTTTAAAAAATACTTTTTAGTTGTAGTTGGACACAATATCTTTATTTATTTATCTCTATGTGGGGTGTGACCAATTTTAAATAACTAAATGTTCAGGGTCAGATATTCTTCTGTGGCTTCATGATTGGAATAGACTGAATGTAGTCTGGATTCCCTGATCAAGGGTTGGTCTTTCAGAAATAAGGCAGATACTGACAAAGTTGGAGTAATTATCTTTTACATACACCTACCCCTCGATTCCCTTTTAAAAAGACCATAGTGGGGAGGAGGCCACTGACTCTCCTTTGTTTCTGTTATATAGGAGATACACCGGAGGTTTGAAAATGCTCCTGATTCTGCCAAGACCAAGGCTCTGCAAACTGTTATTGAGATGAAGGTAAGTAAGAGCCTAATAAATCTCTTAAAGAATCTTATCAGTCATGGTTTCAAGTGTGAGTCTTAGAAAATAGTTGCTAATAATATTTCACTCACTTGTGAGATAGGACATTTTAAGACTTAATGAAAATAATGTCTTAGAATAATTCCAATTTTCATTCAGTTGTAAACCATAATTCAAATCAGACCAAAAAATTTTGTCTTTTGCCTTCACATCAATTGTTCTCTAAATTTTTGATTGGCTCAAGACCCAATACCTCCCTTAATGTGACAGGCTCACATCTTCTTTTTAAAGAAAATGCCCGCCAAATAGTGAGTTTCAGTAACCACAAATTGTCAGTCATTCCTTGAAGTAAAAATTGTGTTCCATGAAAAAAGTACCCAGTTCAGCTCACAACTCAGGACAACCACAAGTCCTGTTGCTAGGGACAACTGTCATATTTCATTATACTAAGTGCTTCATGCCTGCCCCTGTTTTGTCACATGAAATATGAAAAAGATGCATCCTTAATGGTTGAGATTTATTAAAAGCACTGTTTTGTTTTTGTTTTTTTTTAACTGTTTAACCAAGAACATTCTTATAAAATGTTGTTTCTTTTTAATTTTTTTTTTCTGTGAATGTTTGCCACTGAAGAATATAATGATTCACAGAGTGCTTTGTGCCATTGCCTTGATTTGTGCTAAGGCACTAACAGTTTTGCTCACTGTTGCTTTTATACCTTTAGTGCAATTGTTAACGTGGTGGAAAAGTCAAACATTACCACAGTATTATTATGGAAATAGTTTTGATCCTACAGACTCTGTGAATGGGTTTAGGAGACCCCCAGTGTTCTAAAGTGTTAAAAACTCTGCTTTAAGCAAATGAATTATTCACAGACTTTAGGCCATACAGAATGGTGACTGGGAGCTTGCTTTCTGAGTTAAACTCCCTGAATTCAAATCTAAGTGTAATAGTTGTGTGCTATGGAGCACTTAGCCTCTATGCCTCAGTTTCTCTCTCTCTCGCTCTCTCTCTCTCTCTCACTCATATGTGTGGAGTGAAACTAGGGCCTTACACATGCTAGGTAAGTGCTTTTACTCCTGAGCTACAACTCCAGTACATTTTATTTTTTATTTTGAGTTGCCCAGGCTGGGCTTGAACTTGTGATTCTCCTGTCTCAATTTCCAGAGTAGCTGGGATTACAGGTGTGCACCACCCCATCTGACTTTAATTTCTTTGTTGATAAATGGTGAGAAGAGTCTAATCCAGTGGATTGTTTTAAGATTTAAATTAGTTAAAACATGTAAAACACTTTGAATAGGACCTTGCACATAGTAAACATATAATCTGTTGCTGCAGTCTGGCTGGGCACAAAATCACGAGCCACTCAAGCAGGAACAAACTTTATTTTTTGAAACTGCCGCCAATGCCCCGTAAGCTCCCGGGAAGATTGCCTATCGACGCACACAGCATTCTCCCGGATCCCCGGAACCCAAGAGGAAGTTCCTCCTCCGGAATTCCCTCCTACCGCACTTCCCCAACCAATGGGAACTCTCCAGGAGTCCCGTAGCAGGCCGAGGTGGACAGCAGGAGTCCAATATCCATATGAATGCAAATCTTAACATAATCGTATCATCTCAGTGGCTTGCTGGCATCACCTTTCAACCAAAAATGCCATGCATCATATTACTTGGCTGTGGCTCTTAGCATCTCCCCCCTTCTGTTTAATTAAGCAACAAGCAATGTGGCTAGGGACCGTGCCTGTTAGGTTTGTCCAGTTCAACATATGGTTCTTACCCGTCATGGAATGAACTGACCTCTAGGCGTCAGCCTCCTGTCTTAGGTTGATACCACTGCAATTGGATCATACCCGTCACTGACTACCGGTCCAGCATATAGCCATACTTGTGGATAGGCCTATGCACCAGTTGGGAAGGTGAGGTTCTTTGCCTCACCTCTGTTGGCCCCCCAAATTAGACCATCACTAGTAGAAGGGAGGAGGATACAGAAATGCCACAACACCAAGTCAATTGACGGCTCCTTAGGAAAAATTGCATCACTGGTGACACATCAGCAAAGATATGCCAGCACTACCATAATTCGCTGCATCAACAGATAGATCACAATGCATACAAGTGATACATAGTCCAGGCAAGTTCTGTAAGCAGTTCAAAGCGGAGGAATCTATCAATATGTCCATTTCCTCCCAAAATAAATTGACTCATTGATTGAGCATTACTTGTTGAGTTATTATTCATAGATGCATCAGTTTATACAGTTTGTTGTGATAACTATCGAAGAAACTGTAGTTTGGTTTCATCTTTGTCTTCACCGGCACTGGGATGAAGATAGGCATTCTGACAATGATGCTAAAAAAAAAAAATTATGTAATATTCCAACAGGTACTAAGAAAACAACTTTTTGAACAATTTACATTATCCTGAACAGAATTATTAAATATAATGAAAAGGAAAGGTGAAAGTAAACAAACAGATGTGTTAACCTGCTTATTTGTACACATTTTAAAACAATCCTCAACAGCTGTTTACCCAATTTAAATTAAACCATTAAAATCACGTGAATAATAAAAAAAATTTCGGATCCATTTATTTATGAGCACTCCTCAATATGATATATGGACATACTCACATACAGACATAGAACACAAAACAGAAGTGTGCACACATAACATACAACACATAAGACAATAGTAAAGGCTTTGTAGCTTTACATAGGTGAAATCTCCATTGCAATGTTTAAAAACTCCACAGTCAAAAAATAAAACTGATCAGAAAAACATTAACCTAGGTCTGTATGAGCTTAAAAATAAAATAGAACTTTATGATGTGGGAAAAGCAATAATAAAATAGATATTGAAAAAAGCATCCTGGTTAATCACTGTCGCAGATGTAAGAATAGCCAAGCTGGAGTTCTGGATATCAGCTGTTGTGGATTTGAGTCAAATCATCTTTCTTTTGGTCTGTAGAAATTGTTTTGTTTAATCTCTCTGGAATCCAAATCGGCTGTTGTTCTCCCTGTGGAAACACACAAACAGAGCCCCGACTCCAGACAGTCACTGGGTCAGGACCTTTCCATTGTCCTGTTAGAATATCCTTCCAAAGTACCTTAGGCTTATGTACATTTTTTGGATACAAATGTCTTTCCGCAGCACTAAGCCCTGATGAATCCAAATTTAAAAAGTTTAGAGTAAAAAGGGTTATTTTAAGTTTATCTTTGGGGGATATATATCCCTTTCCAATTCCCTCCTTTTGTTTTAATAAGTACATTTTAATAGTTTGATGAGCTCTTTCAATTATGCCTTGTCCCTGTGGATTGTATGGAATTCCTGTTATGTGAGTAATGCGAAATGATGAGCAAAATTGTTTAAAAGAGGTAGAAGCATAACCAGGACCATTATCTGTTTTTAACTGTTTGGAACGCCCACAGTGGCAAAATTTTGTAAGCAATGAGCTATAACATCTTCAGTTTTTTTCTCCGGCATGAAGGGAGCCCATCAAAAATCTGGAAGAAGTATCAACTGTAACATGCAAATATTTTAATTTTCCAAATTCTGGCAAGTGTGTGACGTCCATCTGCCAAATATGGTTAGGTATCAGTCCTCTAGGATTGACTCCAAGATTAACTTGTGGTAAAAATGTCACACAATTTTGACATTGCTTTATTATATGTCTGGCTTGTTCTTTAGTTATTTTAAAATGCTTTTGTAAAGTATTAGTATTGACATGGAACCTTTTATGAAAATTTATAGCTTCTTCTATTGTGGAGAAAATATGTATGTCATGTGTAGATTTGTCTGCTAATTCATTGCCCAAACTAAGGGCTCCAGGCAATCCTGTATGTGCCCTGATATGTATAAAGAATGGATCTTTTCTGTCCCAGATTAGACTTTGTATAGTGGAAAGCAAAGAGAAAACAGTAGAGGAAGGGGAAATCCTACCAGCATCTTCAAGGGATACTATAGCATTAACTACATACTGACTATCAGAAAATAAATTAAATACAGAATCTTTAAACATCATAAAAGCTTGTAATACTGCATTAAGCTCTACCTTTTGAGCTGATTGTTTGGGTACTAAAAATGTAAAAGTTTGATCAGGGGTAACTACTGCTGCTGTACCATTATTTGACCCATCAGTGAATATATTTGGAGCATTCATGATAGGGGTTTTTCTTGTCATTTTTGGAAAAACTACAGGATGCTTAGACCAAAAAGACAACAAAGGATTAGATGGTAAGTGATTAATGAAACATTAGATTTACACATGATTATTGCCCAAGTATTTAACTCATTAGCTAACTCATCAATTTGATCCATAGTATATGGAGTAATAATTTTATTGGGAGAAATTCCAAACACTCCCTTTGCTGCTTTTATTCCTTTGAGTATTAATTGTCCTACAGCCTCAGGATACCTAGTAAGAATAGTTTTAGGAGAATAAGATAAATGTATCCACAATAATGGACCTTCTTGCCAAAATACTCCTGTAGGAATATTTTTTGTTGGTAGTACAATAAATAATAAAGGCAAACTTATATCAATTCTATCCAAATGCATATTTTCCATATATGTTTCAATGATTTTTAATGCCTTTCTTGTTTCAGGCGTTAACATGCGGGGTGAATTTGGATCTGATGGACCTTTTAGGATATCAAATAAAGGTTCTAGCTCTCCTGTTGGTATGCCTAGATAAGGCCTTATCCAATTTATGTCTCCCAATAACTTTTGAAAGTCGTTAAGTGATTTGAGTTGATCTACTTGTATTTGAATTTTTGGTGGACGGACCATGGTTGAGGATAATATAACTCCTAAATAATTAATTGGAAGATTTAATTGTACTTTATCTATTGCTATCTCTAGATTATAATTTTTTAATAAATTTGTAAGTGTGGCATAACATTCTAGCAATGTGTTTTTATCTTTATGTGCCAATAACACATCATCCATATAGTGAAATATTTGTAGTTCAGGATTTTGATTTCTAAGTGGCTGGATTGCTTTG